ACGACAGAACCGACTGCTCCAATTTCCAAAGACGTGAAAGAACTGATCATTTCAGAGGAGGATACAGCCACCACAGAGGTGGGGGGACATCTGGCTAACGACTGGTGTCTCAGCAGGCTGTTTTGAAAACGCTGTGGGACATTTAGAGTTCCTCACGCAACGCGGGAGAGCATTACGTATTTACATGAGATCCTGTGACAACAGAAGTGTCAAGAGATTTATTCTAAAAGACACTTCTTCAGCTGAGAGTCAGAGAGTGGAGACGCACACGCTGCAGTTTTTACTTGCAAGGGCGGTCACAGAGCGCTCACATCAGAGTGGGGCCTGTGAAGTGCGCTGTGTTACCGCTCTGGTCTTTATTTATATACAAAAGTAGGTGCATTCGTTTATTACATTGGAATGTGGATGTGTGTGTGTGTGTGTGTGTGTATATGTACCTGGTACGAAGTGAAACTGCTCGTTAAGCTCTTATCTAGCACTAATAGGTGCTGCTCCTTCCCTGCATGATAACGGGTCACAGTGAACTAAAAACAGTTATAAAGAGGTCATCATGCAGTATTCTATCATTTGCAAACTTATATCATTAAAAGATTATACTGACTACTAAATACAACTTTCTATTGACAAGAAGAGACGAGCAAAACTTTTATTTTATCAGTTTGCTCAATTAATATCTTACGAAAATTGTACAGCATCCAATTCTGATCTTATGAGGCTCTGAATTAGTGGACCATTGTGAGTTAGTGTGTTGGCACCTGCGGCAGGTAAACTATAGATAGATATAAGTTTATCTGTCTGCATGTTCTGTGCATGCTGACAGGAAAACAGAGGAATTATCTTAGGATGCCAACCACGGTCAGTGTTTAAAGACTAACAAGTGCTCATCTTTCCACTGAAAAACCTGAACTTGAATCTGATTTGATGGATGGCTAAGTGCTTAGGAACAGCTTTGAACGTTCAAAATGGCTAATATCATATCTACATATTCACACTAGCGAAAAATATGAAGGATAATCATTGATTGTTATTTTAAAAACACTTTTCTTTCTTTTTTTGTCCCTGCACTTTAATTTAGTAGTTGACAAAAAAGAAACACATTATTGTTAAGTTGTAGCTGCTCCCCTGTGTTTACCAGCTAGTAACTCTGGTTCTTTACTAACTGTTGTTGTGTTCGGGGTAGGGATGCACCGATACCGGTATCGGGTATCGGCCTCGATACCACATTTTCTAAAGTACTCGTACTCGTTAAAAGTCCCCCGATACCGAGGACCGTACCACGGTCTGAGACCTGTCTATGTTTGAGCGGCATGTAAGGGGTTAATCACAGGCGCCGAGTTTTTATTAAGTACTCGGTATCGGCGAGTACTGAAATGCAAGTACTCGTACTCGTTTCCAAAAAAGTGGTATCGGTGCATCCCTAGTTTGGGGTGTTGAAAAGCTTTTCTTGTGAAATTTCTAATCAAACTGCCCCAAACTCCCAAGTTCCCACACTGGCAAATGTTCACGTCGCATTAACGTTCAGTACCAGAGTAGCTCACGTCATCGTTTACCCGACAGCTGCATAATAACTAAAAATATACTTTACAGTGAAATACTCCCTGGCATTATTGTATTTTTCTTTTGGATGCAGAAATGATGAAGCGACTCCACACATACTCACCTGTCTTCAAATCTCATCTATAATGCAAAGAACCAGAGATCTGCCTGCATACGCAGGTTTGTGACGAGACAGGCGGTGCAGAAAACGCTGTTTTTTAATATTTAAAAAAGTGACAGACAGTTGAGCTGATATTCTATCACAGTAGATTTCATATTTCATGTAAAATGCACCAAAGTACACAGCATCTGAACCCAAGTCAACCTCTTCCAAACTGAACTTCTGATTGTAGTTTGCTGTCAGGGTATGGTACACAAAGCTCACATTATCACAAACACCAGATTTCAGGCTCAAATG